CACCTGTGATTGGTTGACACGTGTGATTGTTTGACACCTGTGATTGTTTGACACCTGTGATTGTTTGACACCTGTGATTGTCTGACACCTGTGATTGTTTAACACCTGTGATTGTTTGACACCTGTGATTGTTTGACACCTGTGATTGTTTGACACCTGTGATTGTTTGACACCTGTGATTGTTTGACACCTGTGATTGTTTGACACATGTGATTGTTTAACACCTCTGATTGTTTGACACCTGTGATTGTTTAACACCTGTGATTGTTTGACACCTGTGATTGTTTGACACCTGTGATTGTTATCACCTGTGATTGTTTGACACCTGTGATTGTTTGACACCTGTGATTGTTTGACACCTGTGATTGTTTGGCACCTGTGATTATTTGACAACTGTGTTTGACACCTGTGATTGACACCTGTGATTGTTTGACACTTGTGATTGTTTAACACCTGTGATTGTTTGACACCTGTGATTGACACCTGTGATTGTTTGACACCTGTGATTGACACCTGTGATTGTTTGACACCTGTGATTGACACCTGTGATTGACACCTGTGATTGTTTGACACCTGTGATTGTTTAACCCCTGTGGTTGACACCTGTGATTGGTTGACACGTGTGATTGTTTGACACCTGTGATTGTTTGACACCTGTGATTGTTTGACACCTGTGATTGTCTGACACCTGTGATTGTTTAACACCTGTGATTGTTTGACACGTGTGATTGTTTGACACCTGTGATTGTTTGACACCTGTGATTGTTTGACACCTGTGATTGTCTGACACCTGTGATTGTTTAACACCTGTGATTGTTTGACACCTGTGATTGTTTGACACCTGTGATTGTTTGACACCTGTGATTGTTTGACACCTGTGATTGTTTGACACCTGTGATTGTTTGACACCTGTGATTGTTTAACACCTGTGATTGTTTGACACCTGTGATTGTTTAACACCTGTGATTGTTTGACACCTGTGATTGTTTGACACCTGTGATTGTTTAACACCTGTGATTGTTTGACACCTGTGATTGTTTGACACCTGTGATTGTTTGACACCTGTGATTGTTTGGCACCTGTGATTATTTGACAACTGTGTTTGACACCTGTGATTGACACCTGTGATTGTTTGACACTTGTGATTGTTTAACACCTGTGATTGTTTGACACCTGTGATTGACACCTGTGATTGTTTGACACCTGTGATTGACACCTGTGATTGATTGACACCTGTGATTGACACCTGTGATTGACACCTGTGATTGTTTGACACCTGTGATTGTTTGACACCTGTGATTGACACCTATGATTGTTTGACAACTGTGATTGTTTGACACCTGTGATTGACACCTGTGATTGTTTGACACCTATGATTGTATGACACCTGTGATTGTTTGACACCTGTGATTGTTTGACACCTGTTATTGTTTGGTACCTGTGTTTGTTTGGCGCATGTGATTTCTTGACACCTGTGATTGTTTGACACCTGTGATTGTTTGACACCTGTCATTGTTTGACACCTGTCATTGTTTGACACCTGTGATTGTTTGACACCTGTCATTGTTTAACACCTGTCATTGTTTAACACCTGTGATTGTTTGATACCTGTGATTGTTTTAATTCCTTCGATTGTTCGACACCTTGATTGTTTAACACCTGTGATTGACAACTGTGATTGCTTGATACCTGTGATTGCTTAACACCTGAGATTGTTTGACAACTGTGATTGACACCTGGGATTGTTTAACCCCTGTGGTTGGCACTGTGATTGGTTGACACGTGTGATTGTTTGACACCTGTGATTGTTTGACACCTGTGATTGTTTGACACCTGTGATTGTTTGACACCTGTGATTGTTTGGTACCTGTGTTTGTTTGGCACCTGTGATTTCTTGACACCTGTGATTGTTTGACACCTGTGATTGTTTGACACCTGTGATTGTTTGACACCTGTCATTGTTTGACACCTGTGATTGTTTGACACCTGTCATTGTTTAACACCTGTCATTGTTTAACACCTGTGATTGTTTGATACCTGTGATTGTTTTAATTCCTTCGATTGTTCGACACCTTGATTGTTTAACACCTGTGATTGACAACTGTGATTGCTTGACACCTGTGATTGCTTAACACCTGAGATTGTTTGACAACTGTGATTGTTTGACACCTGGGATTGTTTAACCCCTGTGGTTGACACTGTGATTGGTTGACACGTGTGATTGTTTGACACCTGTGATTGTTTGACACCTGTGATTGTTTGACACCTGTGATTGTCTGACACCTGTGATTGTTTAACACCTGTGATTGTTTGACACCTGTGATTGTTTGACACCTGTGATTGTTTGACACCTGTGATTGTTTGACACCTGTGATTGTTTGACACCTGTGATTGTTTGACACATGTGATTGTTTAACACCTCTGATTGTTTGACACCTGTGATTGTTTAACACCTGTGATTGTTTGACACCTGTGATTGTTTGACACCTGTGATTGTTATCACCTGTGATTGTTTGACACCTGTGATTGTTTGACACCTGTGATTGTTTGACACCTGTGATTGTTTGGCACCTGTGATTATTTGACAACTGTGTTTGACACCTGTGATTGACACCTGTGATTGTTTGACACTTGTGATTGTTTAACACCTGTGATTGTTTGACACCTGTGATTGACACCTGTGATTGTTTGACACCTGTGATTGACACCTGTGATTGTTTGACACCTGTGATTGACACCTGTGATTGACACCTGTGATTGTTTGATACCTGTGATTGTTTAACCCCTGTGGTTGACACCTGTGATTGGTTGACACGTGTGATTGTTTGACACCTGTGATTGTTTGACACCTGTGATTGTTTGACACCTGTGATTGTCTGACACCTGTGATTGTTTAACACCTGTGATTGTTTGACACGTGTGATTGTTTGACACCTGTGATTGTTTGACACCTGTGATTTTTTGACACCTGTGATTGTCTGACACCTGTGATTGTTTAACACCTGTGATTGTTTGACACCTGTGATTGTTTGACACCTGTGATTGTTTGACACCTGTGATTGTTTGACACCTGTGATTGTTTGACACCTGTGATTGTTTGACACCTGTGATTGTTTAACACCTGTGATTGTTTGACACCTGTGATTGTTTAACACCTGTGATTGTTTGACACCTGTGATTGTTTGACACCTGTGATTGTTTAACACCTGTGATTGTTTGACACCTGTGATTGTTTGACACCTGTGATTGTTTGACACCTGTGATTGTTTGGCACCTGTGATTATTTGACAACTGTGTTTGACACCTGTGATTGACACCTGTGATTGTTTGACACTTGTGATTGTTTAACACCTGTGATTGTTTGACACCTGTGATTGACACCTGTGATTGTTTGACACCTGTGATTGAGACCTGTGATTGTTTGACACCTGTGATTGACACCTGTGATTGACACCTGTGATTGTTTGACACCTGTGATTGTTTGACACCTGTGATTGACACCTATGATTGTTTGACAACTGTGATTGTTTGACACCTGTGATTGACACCTGTGATTGTTTGACACCTATGATTGTATGACACCTGTGATTGTTTGACACCTGTGATTGTTTGACACCTGTTATTGTTTGGTACCTGTGTTTGTTTGGCGCCTGTGATTTCTTGACACCTGTGATTGTTTGACACCTGTGATTGTTTGACACCTGTCATTGTTTGACACCTGTCATTGTTTGACACCTGTGATTGTTTGACACCTGTCATTGTTTACACACCTGTCATTGTTTAACACCTGTGATTGTTTGATACCTGTGATTGTTTTAATTCCTTCGATTGTTCGACACCTTGATTGTTTAACACCTGTGATTGACAACTGTGATTGCTTGATACCTGTGATTGCTTAACACCTGAGATTGTTTGACAACTGTGATTGTTTGACACCTGGGATTGTTTAACCCCTGTGGTTGACACCTGTGATTGGTTGACACGTGTGATTGTTTGACACCTGTGATTGTTTGACACCTGTGATTGTTTGACACCTGTGATTGTCTGACACTTGTGATTGTTTGACACTTGTAACTGTCTGACACATGTGATTGTTTGACACCTGGGATTGTTTAACCCCTGTGGTTGACACCTGTGATTGGTTGACACGTGTGATTGTTTGACACCTGTGATTGTTTGACACCTGTGATTGTTTGACACCTGTGATTGTCTGACACTTGTGATTGTTTGACACTTGTAACTGTCTGACACATGTGATTGTTTAACACCTGTGGTTGTCTAACACATGTGATTGCTTAACACCTGTGATTGCTTAACACCTGTGATTGTCTAACTCCTGTGATTGATGAACACCTGTAATTTCATAACACCTATAATTACATAACACTTGCAATTGCATAACACCTGAAATTACATAACACCTGTAATTACATAATACCTGCAATTGCATAACACCTGTAATTACATAACACCTGTAATTACATAATACCTGCAATTGCATAACACCTGTAATTACATAACACCTGTAATTGCTTCATTCCTGTAATTTTTAATTCTTGTAATTACTCTATATCATTATTAATTCATTTATTATCATTAGGCCAACATTTATGTCTTACCTTCATCATCATTATTATTATTATTATTATTATTATTATTATTATTATTATTATTATTATTATTATTATTATTATTATTATTATTATTATCAAAAAGAAGCGCTAAACCCACTAGAGCGTGTTACTTTCAGGTGTTATCGTAGGCCTAAACGTACAAATCCTCCATTTTCCTTCTAGTGTTCTGCCTTGGAGCTACTGAAGGGCTCTTGTTCCAAGGGAGTGAAACCCTCTTCTACTTTCTCTAAGTCAAACTGATTGTCACCCATTCCCAGGCGCTGTCTGTCCCCTTCTTATGAATATATATATTAAACGTAGTGACCTGCGCTGACCTCCTAAACACTGACCTCTGAGGAGTTACGCCCACCTTTCTTCCTCCTGCAGGTGGGTGCCCAACACACCCAAGAAGGATGACAGAATCTCCTTCGCTCTGCTAGTTCCGGCTGACTCGCTACACGGTCGACGGTACCTCAATGAGAATGGTGAGGGAGGCTGGGCGCCTGGCTACATCTGTGAGATCTGAGAGAGAGAGTGAGAGAGAGAGAGAGAGAGAGAGAGAGAGAGAGAGAGAGAGAGAGAGAGAGAGAGAGAGAGAGAGAGAGAGAGAGAGAGAGAGAGAGAGAGAGAGAATAAAGCCAGCTGACTGATTGATCTTCTGAGAGAGAGAGAGAGAGAGAGAGAGAGAGAGAGAGAGAGAGAGAGAGAATAAAGTCAGCTGACTGATTGATCTTCTGAGAGAGAGAGAGAGAGAGAGAGAGAGAGAGAGAGAGAGAGAGAGAGAGAGAGAGAGAGAGAGAGAGAGAATAAAGTCAGCTGACTAATTGAACTCGCTGGCACAGATGGCTCCAACTTAATCCTGTTCCCTACTTATTTGTCTCATAACAATAAAAAGGCTTTTGATGAACTGATGTAGGTAAGAGCTCTTAGCTGGTAAATAAAGTTAGGAACCTTAACGTAACTTTGTAAACCCGTGTGTAAAGACACAGAGAATAATTATTAAAATTCTCTTGATAATCGGCAATAAAATTTTTTAATAAAATTGTATATCTTCAATAATAATGTTTTGAACAATATAAATTTTGATGACAACACTTCATGTTGTGTTAGTAACCCCTTGACGGAGGTGGAGGTGGAGGTGGTGGAGGAGGTGGGGGTGGAGGAGGAGGTGGTGGAGGAGGTGGGGGTGGAGGACTGTAGAAGTTTGACAACTCCTACTAGTGACAATGGCTGCATTCTAGTTATACTTTATTAAAGTAATTTATTGTTTTCTGCTTATTCTTGCTTTCTATTTTTGTTTCTGTTTGTAATTAAGTTCTGTATTTTTATTCTATATTTCTGTCCTCTTTATCTTCATGCCTTATTTATTTTGGATTTTCCTGAGCAGGGAAGGTTGAACCTCCTCCTTCTTTTCCAAATATTGTATTCTTCAGTCATATTCCCGCTAATTCTACACCTTTCCAGTGTGTAGATTCGGTATCCTAGTCCATCCTTCTAGAAAAGATTTTTGATACTAGGGATCAACTTCGTCATCTTTCTCTGTTTTAGCGCATTTATTTATATTGTATAAAATGGAGACCAAAACTGCACAATATAAACTAAATGAGGCCTTAAAAAGGTTATGTAAACATTAAATATGACCCGTTGGTTATACTTGCAGTGTTCCACTCTTGTTACGTTTTATATTCTAAATAGAGCTCCCATCCCTCTAGAAGTCATGGGTTCCGGGAAAACAACCTCCCCTTCCATCTAGAAGTCATGGGTTCCGGGAAAACAACCTCCCCTTCCATCTAGAAGTCATGGGTTCCGGGAAAATAACCTCCCCTTCCCTCTAGAAGTCATGGGTTCCGGGAAAATAACCTCCCCTTCCCTCTAGAAGTCATGGGTTCCGGGAAAATAACCTCCCCTTCCCTCTAGAAGTCATGGGTTCCGGGAAAATAACCTCCCCTTCCCTCTAGAAGTCATGGGTTCCGGGAAAATAACCTCCCCTTCCCTCTAGAAGTCATGGGTTCCGGGAAAACAACCTCCCCTTCCATCTAGAAGTCATGGGTTCCGGGAAAACAACCTCCCCTTCCATATAGAAGTCATGGGTTCCGGGAAAACAACCTCCCCTTCCATCTAGAAGTCATGGGTTCCGGGAAAACAACCTCCCCTTCCATCTAGAAGTCATGGGTTTTCCGGAAAACAACCTCCCCTCTCCATCTAGAAGTCATGGTTCCGGGAAAACAACCTCCCCTTCCATCTAGAAGTCATGGGTTCCGGGAAAACAACCTCCCCTTCCATATAGAAGTCATGGGTTCCGGGAAAACAACCTCCCCTTCCATATAGAAGTCATGGGTTCCGGGAAAACAACCTCCCCTTCCATCTAGAAGTCATGGGTTCCGGGAAAATAACCTCCCCTTCCATCTAGAAGTCATGGGTTCCGGGAAAACAACCTCCCCTTCCATCTAGAAGTCATGGGTTCCGGGAAAACAACCTCCCCTTCCATATAGAAGTCATGGGTTCCGGGAAAACAACCTCCCCTTCCATCTAGAAGTCATGGGTTCCGGGAAAACAAACCTCCCATCCCTCGACTACTTCCTGAATGCTCGGCAACATTGTCAAACACCTCTGCCCTTAGCTGGTCCACAGGGACGTGCATGCTCTACGCTAATCCATCTTCCAGGGAAATGGTACCGAGATAACTAATTTCAGGAAGGACGTTGGGCAGAGAGAGAGAAACAGACAGACAGAGATTAATTTTCAGTTTCCAAAGTAGTCCACCTCAGCTCTCACTCTCACTGTTTCTGCACACCAACTGTTAAACAGTCATCAAGTTTCACATCAGTGCCTCCAGTAATAATATCTTATAATTTTCTACTTTAAAAACATCCGCATGCTAGAGTATGTCAACTGTTTTAAATGTCTCAGAGGTTTGTCTGAGGTCACATCGTAGATTCCAATTTCTGAGTGAGACTGGCTTCAGTATCCCTGGCATCCAATAACCCAGGCTTTATGTATCCCAATACACGCACCTAACTGTAGTATATAAGCCACTTCTCCGCGCATATGTTGTACTTTTCTCAAGATTGATGGACTGGACACACAAGCTGAGTGACTGATCACCTCAAACTCCTCATTTTCGACTGCTCTTCTCTATACTGGACTGAAGAAACCATTGGCTGGTGGATCGTTTCCACAATAAAGATTCCTAAGTGTTGCACAAGTGTCTCATTCTTCAACATAGTATCTGCACTCAAAAACCCTCAATAAAAGGGAAATGGTACAGAATACAGACACGACGGATAGACACGCAAATGCAATGTAATGCGATAATTTACTAACAACGCTTCGCCCACACAGTGGGCTTTATCAAGTCACCAGCTGATCTAACTTTATAAAGCCCACTGTGTGGGCGAAACATTGTCTGTAAAAGATCGCATTACTCTGCGTTTGTGTCTTTATCAGTTTCTCAATAAAGCCAAAAAGCTATAACTCATCTCTCCCAAGAGGACCAGGAGCTAAAGACCAACATTCTTATGCGACTGGGTGCAACGTACACAGAGTATGTTGTCATTCAACGTTCGTCACACAACCATTCGGCATGTCCTTTCAACCAGTGAACTAGCAATTCAGGATGTTTACCTGGAGTTTACCTGGAGAGAGTTCCGGGGGTCAACGCCCCCGCGGCCCGATCTGTGACCAGGCCTCCTTAGGTCAATGTCCCAGGATGCGACCCACACCAGTCGACTAACACCCAGGTACCCATTTTACTGATGGGGAACATAGACAACAGGTGGAAAGAAACACGTCCAATGTTTCTACTCTGGCTGGAAATCGAACCCAGGCCCTCACCGTGTGAAGCGAGAGCGTTAACCACCAGGCCACCAGAGTTCTGGGGCCCCACTGTCGAACGTATTGCTCAATTCATCCCATTAGTCACGTGAAAGCCGGCTACTTCAGCCAAGGTGACGTCACTTCAGCTTACCTAGCTGAGTGGCAGACTTCCGCAGACACTGGTCGTTACCACTCCTGCTTTGTGTGGCTCTGAAATATACCATTTCAGTCTGACTTCTTCTCTAGTCATTAATATTGTACATAGTGTATAAATATATATTGGTGACGGAATGCATAGGTAAAGAAATCTAGTCTTGCTTGTTTGTCTTGCCCTTCCTCTGTCCTGCTGAATGTTTTATTTGTTGACTTAGCTACGACTAGGTGCTACAAGTCTTTAGACTACCACCCTAGTACGCTCGGACGTGAGCACGGTAAACACAGCTTGCAGTCCTAAATGCTAACGGTTGTTATTGCTCAACGGGAGGCCTTTGTACCCATGTACATTCTGTGCATGCGTGCTACATATGAGTCCCAAGATGCTAAACCTCCCGAGTCAGTACCATTGGAGACACCTAGTTGGCCGGACATGCAAATTCCCGTATTACTCTACGATATAACCCCAGCCGTACAATGTCGAATATTCATTTCCTGGATTACCTCACCGCTGACAAATTGTGATAGCGCCGTGGGCGCCCTTCAGCAAGCAAGGTGACATTTTTTGGGAAAATAACTGTGTGTGGGATCACTTTGTGTGAACGCCTTGTTGTAATGTCTGTCCTAACCGCCTTGGAAAAGTCTTTATCCCTAGAAGCACCTCAAGTTTAAGTACTTGAAGATAGCCAATGTTTCAGGATGACTGAAGCCTTCCAAGACGGCTGCTTACTTCCAAGATGGCTACTTCCTTCCAAGATGGCTACCTCCTTTCAAGATGGCTACTTCCTTCCAAGATGGCTACTTCCTTCCAAGATGGCTACTTCCTTTCAAGATGGCTACTTCCTTCCAAGATGGCTACTTCCTTCCAAGATGGCTACTTCCTTCCAAGATGGCTACTTCCTTCCAAGATGGCTACTTTCTTCCATGATGGCGGATCTCAACAAAAACTTTTTGAGATACAACCTACCAAACATTCTCAGCGGTCCCTTACAGGTCCGTCTAATATCCAACCTCCCCAGGATTCTCCACTTGGCTCCCCATCCTATAAATACTCACGTACTATTCATCCAGGTTTGTGAAACCTGGGCGAAACGTTGTCAATAACGGATCACATTATACCGCTTTAGTGTTTATTTTTCAAAAAAACATTCTTACTGGCTGGCTGATGTATCGACCGCAGTATCGATGCAGTGACATTTACGGGTATGTTTTCCGTTAAGAACATGGACAGCAGGTGTCTGAGGAAACACGTCCTGATGTTTCCACAGACTTCGATGTAGTGCACCCTCACATAATGATACTGGAATGTCTCATGCTTTTATGTATTTATTGTTCTCGGGTTATATCATATGTAACCTGGTATGTCACCGGTAGGCTTGATAATGGATGTAAGCAATCTAAGTAAATAAATGTTTAGAGGTAGAGGCTGAGTAAATGTTTAGAGGTAGAGGCTGAGTAAATGTTTAGAGGTATAGAGGGTGAGTAAATGTTTAGAGGTAGAGGGTGAACAAATGATAAATAAAAAGTGGGGCGAGGTGAGTGTGGTTAAATTGTGTGCTAAAAACAAGTGAACAAATGTTTCCTAGTGAGCGTCCGCAGCCAGCAGATCCCCTTAGTAGCAAAAAAGAGGAAAGTAATAACGGACCCCCCTTATGTTCTTAGGAAGGAACACTGCAGTAGGCCTACTGGCCCATGAGAGGCAGGTCCAAGTAAAACTCCAGAAATATTAAACTATGTTGAACTGAACGATGATAAGTTATGCACGATCCAAGTCAGGTGGTCAGTCCCTCAGCCTGGAGAAGAGTTTTGCTTCATAGTCTGGAACACCTCAAAACTATCTCTTCAAGGGTGACGGACTGATTACATCTTCACATCTCTATTGCTTCTCTTTTGTACTTGAATGAAGAAGCCTAGTAGGTGGGCGAAACATTTCGGAATAAAGATACCTAACTGTTGCATATGTATCTTATCCCATGTATCAGAAATCTTTCCTAAGAGGACAGACTGAGAGCCCTGAATCTGCACTCTCTAGAAACAAAGACACTTCTAACAAGGACAATTGTTAATGACACATCGAAGCCAGCCAGTGAGGACATGTCAGTGAAGATCATCTCTACTAAAAC